GAGGCACCAGGCCCCGCCCGCGGAGCCAACCCCGAATCACGAGAGTCCTGGCCCCACGAGCCTGCGGGAAGGGGTGGGAGGAGGGAGCCACTAACTTCCTCCGGCGGGATGGGATGGGGGGCGGGGGATGTGATGGGGGGCGGATCCATCCCCTTCCCCACCACACACACTCGGTAAACCGGCCTGGCTTCTGGCACCCTCCCACCCCACACCCCTAATTACTTAGGGGTGACCCTGAGTGGCCTTACTTGTCCCTGCACAGTAGCTGCTATATTGAGGGAGTGGAGGGTGGCCAGCCTAGAAGCTGTCAGGATGCCCCTGGATGGGGGCTGACGCTGGAGGTGAAAAGGGGGTGCCTGGCTCCAGGGCTGATATTGGCAGGAGTAGGGGGCCTTCCTGCCTGCAGGCCTTGCTCAGGCCAACTGCTCCTCACCGTCCCGGCCCACCTGTAGCCCCTCCCCTGTGGGCCCTCCTTCGCCCAGGCTTCCCCAGTACTCGGTTTATACCTGATTTCACTGCTCACACTGCAATCAGTTGTTCCATTAGCCCCGGTCTTCCCCAAAAGGCCACTTGTCCCAAACTTCCAAGGGCAGGAGCCGGCTATCTTCTACGCACCTCCCTGCTTGGGTAGGAGGCGTCTCAAGTCCCTGGAGTTGAATTAGTTTCCCACCACTGCTGTAACAGCTTCTGTAACAAGTTACCACAAACCTAATGGCCTAAAATAACACATTTATTTTTACTCTGGCCAATGTGGTTCAGAGGGTTGGAGCTTCATCTCATATACTGAAAGGTTTTGGGTTCGATTCCCGTCAGGGCACATACCTAGGTTGTGGGTTTGATCCCCGGCGGGAGGCAACCAATCAGATGGGTTTTTTTCCCTCAACCTCCCTCTCTCTCAAAAGATCTCAGTTGTGTTACATCTTTATCCCCAGCACAGAGCGTGGCATAGAGCAGGTACTTTACATTCCATGATGTAATTATGCAATTGCATAAATTAACAAATGAGCATTCCGTGTAATAAGCTAAGGGTGCCCACCATCACTGCTTCTATTCAACATTGAACTGAAGATCCCAGCCAATGCAATAAGATAAGAAACAAGAGGCACAAAGATAGAAAAGAGAAAATCTGTCATTTGCAATCAACGTGATTGTCTACCCAGAAAATCCAAGAGATCAACATTCTAGTATTGGATCCCTACTGAGTGGTAGGCCTGTTCTAGACACTTAGTATAAGATGAAGGAGCAGCCCTGGTCCTCAGCGAGCTCCCGTTTTAGTTGTGGAGGTGAGGCTGACAATCCGTAGGGCTGAGTCACTTGCAAAAGAAAGAATCCATGAAGTTCATAAACTTGGATGAGAAAAAAATTACATCTTTATTTTCATTAAGCTGGTACTGATGTATATCATTTCCTTCAGTTATGAATGTCAGCAACAGCTGTATTAGTAGTATCCATGACTGTCACCAATCAAAATCACAGATGTTTTCAAATCACAATATAGTATTTGTAAATATCTAAAATTCAACATATACCCACCATTACAGTAGTTATTAAACCAGGTTTTAGTTCTTATAGTTTAACTAGAGGCCTGGTGCACAGATTCATGCACTGGTGGGGTACCTTGGCCTGGCCTGTGCCCTCTCGCAATCCAGGACCCCTCGGGGG